TGACTAATTTCAAGCAATCCTTGAATACTAGGTAAATTTATCCCAGACCCCTGGGAACCGTTGTTTGTAGGTTTATTTCCGTTACAAGAAGATAAATCTTCAGAAGGTGATTGAAACGATCGGTAACCGTTCGCAGGGTACGGATAAGAATTATTGATTGGAAATTGCACTCCATTTGTATTTGTTGTATTACTTAATGAATTATTATTATTCGTCGGAGAAACGGTAATATTTGCTGTTGAAGGTGATAATGATATGGTATTAAAAGTCGACGATGATTTTTTCGAAGGTGAATATTTGGAAGAATGAGGTGTTGATTTATTATTATGATGAAGGTTCGAACTTCCATTTACCACGGAAGTAGAACCAAAAGACTTGGAATCAGGAAAAGAAGCTGCTTGTTCGTGGACTCCACCAAAATCGATCCTAGTAGGATTCGGAGCAGTTTTAATTTTCTTAGGAGTTGGTGCCAGGCGAGTACCATCTACGCTTGGTGGTCTTGAAAGATGCTTCACTGATTTTTTGATTAAACATTCATCACCGGTTTCTCTCGGTGATGAAGCAACCTCACTTATAATTCCTTCAACACTTGTTGATTTATCCTTTGATGCGGCATCCACTGATGATCCTTTCTTTTCTTGGGAACTGTTTGTGAATGTAACTTGAGTTTGGTCTAATGGAGATTCTTTTATGGATGCAACCTGTTCCTGAGATAATTGTTCAGGCAAGGGAAATGATACTGACTTCGGAATATTGTCCGCGGGTATCGGATTACTTGATGTAGAAGACGCAGTTACTTCAGAGTTCAAATTAATATTTTCATTATTTTTCTGTTGATTATAATTTGAAGGTTTTTTATTAAGCCACCAAATAACGCCATCAGCATTTTCTGACTTTTTGATATTTTTATTTTTTTCTCGCTTAGATATACGTTGTTTAATGAGCTAAATATATAAATTAAATGTCACTAATGTTACTTCGGACTATAATTTAGAATAAGTTAAATAAATACCTTTTCTATTAATTTTTCGAACTTCCCTCGCATTTCATTCTCATTATATACACTATGCCGTTGACAGATTGCCAGGGTTTCATTAATACGTTTCATTATTAGTTCTTTGACATGGTGTTTTGCGATGGCTAATGACCTAAAATCTTGATCGATCGATCTGTCAAACTATGACATGTGTATACGCATGTTCATAAGTAGCTGATTAAAATATAAAACGAAAGTTTTAACTTAAATGGGTTTTACCTGTAACACACTTTTTTTCAGAAAACTCATGAGGAATGCTTCATACTGAGAGTCAACCAGTATTCGCTGACCAGCTCTATTACCACAATCCAAAACCTGTCCAGAATAAGTTTGTTTTGCCTCGTGAAGTATAGTCTGTTTAAATTGAAGTGAAATTTTAGTTTGGCTTCGAATATTTCTAATGTGCCCGTAAAAATTGAGACACTAAATAGAACTCATGGTGTAAAGAAAGATGACGTTACCATACCATCAAAGCGCAACTCAATTGTTGCATGACATTCGGACACATGTACGTTTGACGGTTGACATTAAATGTCAATTTGTTGACTTTATGACTTTCCTTTCCTTTTCCTTTCCATATTTTGCCATTCTTCGACTTTAAAACATCATCCTCATTGTTATCATTGTTCTCCGTCAATGTACGAAATACACATAGTGAATTAAGCATGCCATCCATAACGGGTATTCTCGTATTAATCGGAGGGCAAGACACAGATGATATTGAAATAATAACACCAACACTATCTGAAAACTGAAAGAGATAATATATGGGATGAGGACAATTTTTCATGTGATCATTATAAATGTATCATTCAAACGTACTTGAGATTGAATTTTTTGTTGTTTATTAATATCGTTTTGAGTAGGGATTGAATCGGGACTTGAATGGAGATTACTTTTATTTTTTATAAAGACAAACAAATAAGTGAGAAACACAAGAATTGACAAATATATATATAATAAACAACGCTCATTCACCAATATCACAAACTAAAAATGAGTGAAAAAAATACCTTCGATACCAGCCTATAAATTCGAGGCCCAACTCGCTAAAAATATTGATTGCATTTTCGCGAGCCTGAACAATTTCTTGCACCGAATCCGTGAGCAAAGATGTAATGATCCTAGAACATTAATAAATAATAAATATTTATAGATGTCAACACAGACTCTCAATGACTTTAATTATTTTTTAAACAACTGCATACCTTTCGGAAGCAACAAATTGACTGACTCGACAAACAATTGCATTATCATCATCTAATCGGTCAACAGCATACGTTCCTCCCAAATATCCAAGTATTTCATGTTTGGAATCAACATAGGAGCACTCCAAAAGAGCCGAGAGTACCGACTCATCAATAGACAAACGGTAATTACTATAGTAAAGAAACATGCACAAAGTTATGAATAAACCTTGCCCTGTTGAAGGGATTTGATATTCCCATGGCAACAAATACGGCAGCTATTTTTCTGCTGACCACTCACAATGTAATTGGGAAGTGACTTGCTTACCCAACTGGGTCGTCAGCTTTTTTTGATGTTTCGTGTTTTTGATTTCGAGGTTTATTTGACTCGAGATTCGAAATCGTTCCGGTTTCGCAATCAACAACCGTGGCCTGTCGTCGTGGGCATTGGGATGCAGAAAGAGGTTTTTGTGATTGAGTGGTCTCGAATGACAAAGGCTCAGAAGAATTGACTTTGTTGTTGATTATGTTTAATGGTGTCATGTTATTTTCGGTTGTCTTTTGAGGCATCTTTAAACGATCTGTCAGCGCCGGAAACAAATTTTATTTTTTTTTTTTGTTTGTTAAAAAAAAGAGAATGAATGTTTCTTCTTAACACAAACCTTATGCCCAGAACCAAAAAAAAAAATTTTTAAGGTGAATACGGCAACTCTCGCACGTAGTAAGTTGAGAATTACGGCGCAAGTGGCGATCTCGAACAACGATCGTGGGTATGTTTGTAAGATCGTTAGAAAACCAACGAGTTTATGAGCTATAAAAGAAAGAACTGATGAACTTTACGGTACAAACTGTATACCAGCCCAGCATATCAGTTATTTTTATCTAAACTTCTATCTGAAATATATGGTGCTTTGGGCCTTTTGGGGGCGTTTTGCGATAATTCACTATACTGTATGTTTCGGGGGTCTTTTTTGGTAGGACAAGTGGTTTAGGTTTACTGTTTAAACTGAATCATTCAACCAATTATCTTTTGAGTTGTATTACGAACATGTTTACTGGTTGGTGCGAAATATGCATTATGCAACTAACTTTACTGATGTACTGATGTACTGATGCAATTGATAAAGATGGCAAAGAAGTGGAGGCCCTATCATTTATCGAAAAGAATTCCGCAGTCATTTTTTTTAGTTTGACATGTTAACATGAAAGTTTTTTTTCGCATCGACTGTCTTAGACTTATATGCAAGCGAAAAATGAATATAAGTAAATCTCAGAATACCGCTTCTTTGGGCTATTTACTTTGTAAAATAATACAATGACTTTTGGGGGTTAATTTAATATATTCAATGCAACATTTTGGCTAATGAAAAGACAACTCGGGTTACTTATTTAAAAACCTATATAAACAACCAATCAAATAAAAAAACAAAAAGAAAAAATGTATTGTCCCGTTGGGAATTCTTATATTGTTCTTTAAATTTTCCAAGCTTTGGATATTTATAACTACGCAGCACCAAGACTAGGAAAAGCTCTTTGATCGTCAAGGTTAACGTAATCTCCACGACCACGAGTGCGACCGCGACCGCCACCACTATTACGACGACGATTTTCACCTTCATAGTTATCACGTCCATCACGGTTTTCTCGCCTATCACCTCTTCCTCGAGGGCCGCCACCACCACGTCCACGCCCACGCCCACGTGGGTAACCGGGTCCAGGTTTTTCAACAAATGTTTGCTCAATTTCAATAAAATTCTTTGCCTTAGTCTTTTTGGATTTGAGCCTATAAGAATGTTCCTAAAAAAATAAAATAAAGAACTACTATTGAATATTATATCTAAATTAGTAAAATTTAAAAAATCTTATTCATTGCATTACTTTTCCGGCAAAAAGGACATCGTCTTCTTCATCTTTCTCCAAGGGAACAGCATCTTTCCATTGAGAATCATCGACTCCTTCATTCGCCTTTCTTGCTTCTGGAAGTGTAGCAACTACGGCTTTTTGAGGTTTCTCAGCACGATACTCATCCAATGTTTTGAAAGCTTCCTCTTGTTCAACGGCCGGGGCACTTTCTCCATTAGTGGCGACGGCCTCTTCTTCTGGTGCAGCGGTTTCCGCGGATTCTTCCCAACCTGATCCACCATCTTGGGCAGCACCAGATTCTTTTCCCTCAGCAGGTTCAGTCCACCCTTCTCCTGCATTGTTATCGGAGGTTTGATCACCCCAGGCAGAAGTATTGGCATTGGTATTGGCATCAGCCTCACCCCCGTTATTTTGTGTTTCTATGGCTTCATTATTCTCCCATGTGTTAGAAGGATTGCCCCAACCTTGGGTTTCTTTTTTATTACTGTCACTAATTTATAAAATTAACGTACATCATAATTAAAAATGATCAATTAATTAAATTTAAATATTGTAATGTTAAAACTTACTATTTTCCTGTGCCACTATGACGGTCGTATTCACGCCCACGACGACCTCCACCTCCTCGTGCACCACGACCTCTTTCGCTGGCTCGAGCTCCACGTGAATTTCTGTTAGGATAATCACCACCACCTTCTTCGCGGCGGTTATATAGACGAGGTCCAACGTTTCGATCACGGGGTGCTATATGACATAAGGTTTCTTAATTTGATATATTTAATTATAACTATACACAGAAACTTCAAACATGCTATTATGCATAACCCTTTAATAAAATAATGAGCAACTCTTTGTAAATCAGCGCGCTGCTGAAAACTGCAGGAGCAAATACAATTGCCCAACTATTTATGAAGTGCTATTTGGTACATACCCCCAGATCTTGTTTCCTCATTTCTGCTGTTAGGAGGGGAGGGTTTAAAACCTCCACGTTGAGGATACTCGTGTCGAATTCTAGCCTCTTTGGGACTTGCACGAGACCTATCAACTTTTTTTTGTACCACTACATTTTCCTTCGGAGTTGGTTCTTTCTCCGGTACAACTGGCTCGATATCCTCATTATCAGCAAGTATATCAAACAAATTTCGACTTGCAACACTCGCCATTATGTGAAAAGCGATGGATGGATAGATGAGGGGACAATCTTTTCAATTTGATTGTCGCGCCTTGAAGTTCCCACAAAAAAAAAAACGCCCATAAATATCTGATGAATTATATAAGCCTAACACACATGTTTGAGCATGTGATAAATAATATCAGATATCGAAAAAAATTTTTTTTTGCAAATTAAATATAGAACATTAATAATATATAAAAAAAAATTTTAAATTTTAAATTTATAAAGAAAACCAATTTATATTATTTAATAATATTATTAATATACTATATTTAATTATATAAAAATAAAATTACATATTAAGTTAAATCAATATAAGAGATAAAAATTTATTTAAAAAAAATTTTTTTTTGATAAATATTAATTTTTTATTATAGTATATATATAATTTATATTTGAAAAAAAATAATATTTTTTAACTTATAAATTAAATATTAATTTATCAATATAATTATTTAAATTATATATTATCAAGAAATTTTTTTTATTTTTAAAAAATTTAAAAAAATTTTTTTTTTTAAGTAAATAAATATTATCACTTTATTAATTATAAAATTGTTTAAAATTTATTTATTTTTACTCCAAATCAGACTGCAAGAAAATTGTTTAAAATTTATTTTATTTTTTTTTTTTTTCCCTCAATCAGGTTGGTATCATTTATTTATTAAATCAAAATGAACCATTACAAATATAAATTGT